AAGGAAAGAAAGAAAGAGAAGGAAAGAAGGAAGGAAGAAAGAAAGAAAGGAAAGAAAGAAAGAGAAGGAAAGAAGGAAGGAAGAAAGAAAGAAAGAGAAAGAAAGGAAAGAAAGAAAGAGAAAAAGAAAGAATGGGAGAAAGAGAGAGAGCGAAAGAAAAGAAATCTTGCCGCTTCTACCTGTAGTTTCTGAAACACTCACTTTCTCTTGTGGAATTCTCTCTGTTGGAAGCCAGCTGCCATGGAAGGGGAGCAACCAGCCTTATACTACCATAATGTGAGGAGCCTAAGCCATGTGAAGAGGTACCATGGATGATGAGATGACATGTGAGCTAATGAACACCCAGATGTCAGAGAAGTGCCATCTTAGAAGTAGACCTTTCAGCCCCAAACTCTCCAGCTGGGGCCATGTGGGTTAGAGATAAATGACTCAATCAAGTCATCCCTTAATTCTAGAGCTGCAAAATCTTCAGCAAAATTAAAAGGTTGGTTAAAACCATTAACTTTTGGGGTTGTTTGTTATACAGTAATCTATAACTGGAACTCTCACAGAGGAAAATGTGCAGTGAAAATAGCAAAGTGAGCTTCCTGCAGTCATAGATATTTAATACTCTTCCTTAAGGGATCACATCAATCTAGAAAAGTGTAACATGGGAATTATCTGCCAGAGTCGTATTAGTTTTAATTTCCTTAATCCAAATCAGAGAAAACTTTAAACAAATTACCTGGAAATCCAGAGGCACCTGCTTTTCCTGGAAGCCCTGGTGATCCTGGAGGTCCTATAGAACCAGGTGCTCCAGGGATCCCTGGACTGCCTCTTTCACCTGGGGGTCCTGGAACATCAAGTCCAGGAGGTCCTGGATCCCCCTTCTCTCCTGGTATTCCATGTAAACCTAGTTAATACAATATCAATATTAATCAGTACTGAAGTAGTTTTAAAAGATGTATCTGGTTACATTTCTAGTAAACAAGTGATAGAACCCTGTGTATAACAGACCTAAGAGTGAGTTAGAGATACTTTTGACATCATGCACACAAAATAACTGAACAATCAAGCTTTAGGATTTTCAAGCAGATTGCTCTAAGACAGTGCTTCTCAAATTATTTCTGGCGAAAGGCCAATCTTTTCTTAATTCCTAGTTAATCACGGACTAATATTTTTATAAAATACAATAAATTACTAAAACTGAAATAAAAAGCCAAAGATGCAAAATAAAAGCCTACCTTTTTAGTTATTATATTCAACAGATACAATTACACTATCAAATTGCTATAAAAATTTCTAAATGCTTGTTCTCAACGTTTATATTAATCCTATTGCAGACTGATAACAGTTATTCGACGACACTGGTCTATTGACCACACTTAAATTTGCATTGCTCTAATGTATTATAAATTATTAGTACACATTTCTATGAGCTCCCAAAATTATTGATTACTGAATAAGTCACTTAAATTGAACTTTTAAATCATATTTTACCTTTGTTTTGCACATCGTTTTAAAAATACATTAATAATACATTACTATTAGTATTTTTTGTCATCTTTTGTTTCTCCAACCAAGACTTTACAGACAAAAAAATGACACAGCAAAAAATATTTAACCTTAGTAAGTTTCTGTAAGGTTGATTCTCCCCAAAAAGCAAGGTGGTTAAAAAAGAATGTGTTTATGGGAAAAGAATTAAGTTCACACTCCAAAGCCTACCAGCTGTGCAACTTACATGAGTCACTTAACATTGATCCTCATCTGCTAAATGGGGATTATGCCATAACCAACTGGAAACTAGGGGTTGAGCCAGATGATCACTCCAAGTGTCCTTTCAACAATAAGACCTAAATTTATTGTTGAAGACTCACTGTTGATTATTTTTGTAGAGAGTAAGATGCTAGGGTTTTAAGATCTGTTTTATGTCATATTTCAACATGGCCCTAAACTGACAAAATCCACTTTGAAGATTAGAGAATTACACTCAGTTGGCAAAGTAGCGATGGTTCCAATGCTGCCATTTTATAGCAAAAGACTATAAAAATGAGAGATTTGATATATTTGTGAAAGATGATATGATGCCTAACAGTGAACATGATTATAGCTTTATATGGATCATTATCTATTGTTATATTATAGCTCACAAAGATTTTTAATAGCTGGGTTTTCAATATAAATAATTTATCTTTTGAAACATGCTCCAAGAGAGCAGTTCTATAAAATAAGGAAAATAAACCAAAGACTTAAATCTGGACAAATGTTTGTTTTCCATGTTTAAAGCTTTACTTTTAAGATATGGCTTTTGAGGAAGAACTACAGTACCTGGTAGACCTGATGTTCAAGAGGCAGGGAATTACAGTTCAGCAGCAAGTTGAGCCCCCAAGCAGAAGTAAGTTGCAAAAAGATTCGTTAGGTTAGGGGAAAAACAACTAAGCATTTAAAGATTAGAACATAAAACTCTACAAACAGAAGTTATTAGACATTGATTCACTGTTATCTTATATTAGAAATGAGTGAAAAAACTTATTTTAGGCATTTGCTTAGATGTTCATATAGCATATTCTATAAATGAAATGTATTTGCCAATAATGCCAATAAAATATTTACATTCACAAAAGTATTACCTTTTGGTAAAGGTCAGCTTTTCAATTGTTTATCTCTGACTTAATGATTTAAATAATCATTTTGGAATTTAAGCTCCTAAAGTTTAGTTCAAATTTAAAAATTAATTTAATTTTATACTACAACAAGTTGGGTATAGATAAATCAATAATTACTAGCCTATGATTATGGAAAAACAGCTTGCATGCACTAGGCAAGGATTTCTTTCTTCATCGTTATCATTAGTAGTAGTAATAGCAGACATTATACTATACTTCCTTCCATAGCATGAATTTTTCCATGAATACTGTCAGGAATACACATCCTGGTAAGATGCAGGATGAAGAAGTCAATATAAATCCCAAAGTTCTGCTAAATTTCCCCACAATAACAAGAATTATATGGATATGTCTACAGATGTGATATAGGGATATATTGATGTTCTAAATTTATTGGCAGCCAAATGGAACCAGTTTATTAAAAAAGGAGAATTTCAAAAACACGTATTATGCGTGAGAACTTTCCATACATACACATACACACTCCCTCCCCCTACCCAAGGGTTTTGTAGCCTCTTAAAGTGTTAGAAAACTATTTTCTCCTTCATCTATGAAAATGACATGAATAATTCATAAACAATTCCTAGGGTTTTGCTGTTGTTGTTTTGATTCACATTAGTAGTGATGAATTTTTTTTTTCCTCCTTAGCTGATTTAGCCATACGCTTTGTCCTGAGACTGGACAGGCACTATAACATGTTTGATTCTGGTTATGATATGATCTGTGAACATGAAATAGAGTATATTTAACCGATCTCTAAAAAAATTCAGTAAGACAGTAATTGTGTAGGTAATGGCCAAAGAAAATAACAAGAATCAACAACCTCCATTTCTGCCTGGGTTAGTAGGTCATGAGATGAAAAATATTTTGTTTCTAGTCCTTTGGCAATTTTTCTTTTATTTCCCCACTATGGAATGCAAAATTGATATTCAAGGGGACCTTAACTTATAAACGTGTTAAATTGTATAGCCTGGTTTGGAAAAGAGAAAGGCAAATAGTAAAAGCTTAATTAAATAATAGAAAACTGGAGTCCAAAGGAAAGCCTGAAAAGCATAATGCAAACATTCTACAATAGAGAGATAAAAGTATATAATATTTTCCATTTTTCCTATTGCAAATTGAAATACAAGTATATTAAATAAGCTTATTACAAAAACATTGATAGTTAGAGTTTCAGCTATGAAACATAAGTAGGTTTGTCAAGATATAAGTAATAATCTTTCTGATTACCTTATTATTGAGATTTATGGACATAAATCAGGATTTTTTAAAATGAACTAAGATAATATTCTACTTTGGTGATATAAGTAAAGTTTACTTAAAAAGTGAGTATATGTGCCTTGTATAAATATGAAATGTGGTCCATCTCATAGTAAAATGAAAAGTACTGTGATTTGAGAACATTTCTATATTAAGAGTGAATTCAATAAATTTTCATGCTAGTTCCTGTTAATTTCATTTATTTGTTGAACCATATTAATATCTTTAATTCTATGGCTATACATATATTCACAAATAGATGAAGTTAAATTCAGCATTATTACTTTTCTTCCTGCCCATCCTATTTATACTTTATAAATCAATATATCTATATATTATATTTATATCTATATTCATATTTATATCTATATTATATTTATCTATATATTATATTTATATCTGGTTATAAGTCCTTTGTCAGATATATGATATAACAGAGGGATAGAGAGAGGACATTAGATTAATAAAACATTACAGAGTATCTGGTAAATCTGAAAAAGTGTGACACGTGTTAACATATTTGTATTTTGTTTAGATTCATATTAATGGTGTTCCTCTTTTTATTCTCACTCAGCTGTGACTTAAGAATTCAAAATGCTTCTAAAGGCTCATGCACTTTTTGGAACTGAAACAAATGACAAAACACCGTATTAGAAGTGATAAGTTCATTTTATCCACCTCTGTGAAACAGCAGGGGCTGGGCGCAGTGGCTCACACTTGTAATCCCAGCACTTTGGGAGGCCGAGATGGGCAAATCACCCGAGATCAGGTGTTCGAGACCAGCCTGGTCAACATGGTGAAATCCTGTCTCTACTAAAAATACAAAAATTAGTCGGGCGTGGTGGTGCATGCATGTAATCCTGGCTACTCGGGAGGCTGAGTCAGGAGAATCGTTTGAGCCCAGGAGGTGGAGGTTGTAGTGAGCTGAGATCGCACCATTGTACTCCAGCCTGGGCAACAAGAGTGAAACTCTGTCTCAAAAGAAAACAAACAAACAAACAAACAAACAAACAAAAAACAGCAGGTCAAACCTTTAGTAGCCAAACCTAAAAATAAGTGCTTTTTCCTGAAGATCCCTCTGCTATGCTAGTTGGACAGAATGTTTTTCCATAACTGATAAAGCAGCTATTTTGTAACAGCCTGGTTCAAAGCAACACTCTAAGTTTTGTTAGTTTTAAATCAGTAGTGACATGTCAGGGAACATAAAAGGGTATAATGTGCCATGTAATCAACTGTAAAATAGTACATAAATGAAAGTAACGTTTATAGGCTTTTTATATTGTTAACCCGAGTTTCTAAATCTTTAGAATAATAACAAAATATCTACTGTCATTTAAGGTCAGGAAATATATAGCCATTGCTTCAAATAAGTGTATGCACATCTGAACTCTGTATTTAAGCCTTCAAATGTATTCATGTGAATTAAGGAACAATTAAATATTTCATATTTGTTTTAATTTCATAAATTATTATGGTGCTTTGCAATAACATAATGATGGCCCCAAGGTGGCCTTTACTGTACCTACCTAGATTAAGATAATGAGAATTCACATCACCAGACAGCTCAGAATCCAGAAACTCAATATGCTTTCACACAAACTTAGAGGAACCATATGATTTCCTATCTATAGAGGCAAACCCATTAGGTTACGTGTTGACAAAGGACCTTTTTGAGTATCCAATATAAAATATTAAAAGTAAAGATTTGGAGTGCTGATGAATTGCAAGATGATTGCTATTTTGGGGGCAAAAAGGGAAAAAATCTCAACTTACTTATTGAAAAAAAATAAAATGAGAACGCCTAAAATATATTTTTACAGAAAGTTTTGCAGAACTCTAATTCTAGTTCTCATGTGCTAAGAAATGTTAAGAGGTTCCACAAGGGTCTATTAATGCTGCACAGCTACTCAGATCTGAAATGATCAGCACAAGAAGTTTCTAGGCCTCTACTTCCAAGACTATGTCTAGCTCAACAATTACATATCAATAATAACACACTGCAATTGCATTATTGGAAATCATCAATTTTAGATGAACTCAGAGGGCAAACATCAGGGATTAAAGTAGCTTTTATGCTGTGTCCTGTACTTTTCCACTTTTATAAAATCATACACATAGATACATTGCTTCTTAAGCGCTGTTTCTGGAAGACCGTTTTGTAGGTTTCACTTTATTGGTGAGCTAACCAATGTATATATTATGAGTGCTACAAAATGCACATTTACTCTAATCTTACCAGGTTGACCTATTGGCCCAGGAATCCCTGGTGGTCCTGGTGGTCCCTGAACACCTATTCCTGGCAGCCCAGGAGGTCCCATTGGTCCAGGTTGTCCATTTGGTCCAACATCACCTTTAAGAAACAAATACAGTTTAAATATTAAAAGCAACACCTGAGTCACTAGTCCTTGGGAACCATATCATATTAAGCAAGAATCTTGAAAAATTGGGCATTCATTCAGCAAGAAAAGTACACATAAGTATCCAGAGCAGAGGACAGGGAATTCATTAATAGTTACAACCTTATATTTTAACATACGCTGATCACTACTTCAATACTTAAATCAACTTCACAAAAAAGTACAAAAGATTACAAACCACATATTCCTTCTACTTGTAACTCATTGTGGACAGTAATATATTCATAAGTTTAAAATATATTTTCAAGTTACCTATATTTTAAGATAGATAACCTTCAACATTTTCCTTTTTACTAACTCAGGGCCATGGCTTATAAACATGTTCAAGCTTCTCCCATCATTAGTAAAACATCTCTTTGACATTAGAAACTTCACTGTCCATCTCTCCATCTTCTGACTGTCTCTCTGTCACTCTCACTTTAAACAATTTTTACATGTACTAAAATTCCGCCTTTTTAGTGTACACTTTGATGAGTTTTCACAAAGGTATATAGTCATATAACCACCACTAAAATCAAGACATAGAACATTTTCGTAAACCCAAAAAAGCCCCTGTGTGCTGTGGTCAGCTCATCCCCACATTCCAATTACCTGGCAACCACTGATCTATTTTATGTCTCACAGATTTTTCTTTCCCAGAATGTCATACAAATGCAATCAAATAGTATGTAGCCTTTTGAATATGTCTTCTTTCAATTAATACAATGCATTTGAGATTCATCCATGTTATTATGTGTATCAGTAGTTGCTTTTTGCTGCTGGGTATTAGTCTATCAGATGAATATGCACATTTTGTTAATCTTTTTGCCATTTGAGGTACATTTGGGGTGTTTACAATTATTGGTGATTATGCACTAAGCTGCTGTTAACACTGTTCTACAGGTTTCTATGTGAAGCTTCACATTTTTTATGGGAGTAAAATTGTGTCATGTGCAAAGACAACGTTTAACTATATAAGAAATTGTCAAACTGTTTTTCAAAGTGGCTGCACCATTTTGCATATTAACTAGCAATGTATGAGAGTTCGAGTTACTTTGCATCCTTAGCAGCAGTTTTTGTCAGTTATCCTTTTTGAAAAAAGGCCAATTCTAATATTTATGAAGTGGTATCTCAATGTGGTTTTAACTTGCATTTCCCAGATGATAAATTATACTCAGCATCTTTACATGTGCTTATTTGCCATTCAGGTGTCTTCTTTGGTGAGGTATCTACTCAAATTGTTTGCTCATTTTTCCAACTATATTTTAAAATTCGGCTGTTTGTTTCCTTATTGAGTTTTGAGAGTTCATTATATAATCTGGTTATAAGTCCTTTTTCAGATATATGATATGAAAATACAGTTAATTTTAATAAAGTCCAATATATCCCATTTTTCTTTTATGAATTGTCTTTTTGGTATTCTAACAAGTTTTTGCCTAACATCTGATCACAGAGTTTTCTCTTATGTTTTTTCATCTAAAACAAGGGATGACAAAGTACTTCCCATGGGTTAAATATGACCTATAGGCCTCTTTTTGTGCTGCCGACATGCTAAGAATGGTTTTTACACTTTTAGAGGGTTGTTAAAAAAAAGAATATGTGACAGAGACCATAAATGTAGCCCATAAAGACTAAAATATTTACTCTCTAGCTCTTTGCAGAAAAAGTTTGTCTGCTTCTGTTCTACAAGTTTGATAATGTTAGGTTTTGCATTTAGGCCTGTGATCCATGGGGAGCTAAATTTTGTGCAAGGTACGAAGTGCAGGTAGATGTTTGTTATGTTGGTTTGTTTGTTTGTTTTTTTGCATATGGATGTCCAATTGCTTTATGTTTTATCGGCATTTGTTGAAAAGACTTATCTTTCTGTTGAAATTGCCTTAGCAACTTTGTCAAAAATTAAATATGTGGGTTTATTTCTAGACTCTCTATTATGTTACAATGATCTATTTTTCTATATTTCACATATACCACACTATTTTAACTATTGTAGCTTTATTTTAAGTCGTAACATCAGGTACTATAAATTGTCCAACTTTGTACTTCTTTCTCAAAATTGTTTTGGCTATTCTAGGTCATTTGTTTTACCATATAAATTTTAGAAGAAAAATTGTGTGTTCTCCTTGAGAATATTTTCAATCTATGGATTGATTTGGAGAAAATTGATATCTTAACATTATCCATGAACACAATATACCATTCCATTTATTTAGGTATCTGATTTCTGTTAACATTGTTTTATAATTTTCCACATACAAAGCCTGCACATTTTTGTTAGACCTATACATACCTAAGCACTTCATGTCATTTGATGCTATTGTAAATTATACTGTTTTTGTTTGATTTTTATTTCTAGTTGTTCACTGATAGTATATAAAAACATAATTTATTTTTTATATATTTGCTTGGCCCTATGATCCTACTAAATTCACCTTTTAGTTCTAGTAATTTTTGTAGATTTATTAGGATTTTCTAAGTATAAAATCATGTCATCTATGAATATAGAGAGTTTTTTTCTTGCTTTCCAATCTGTATGCCACTAAACATAATGGATCAAGATTTTGCAAATGTCTTTATCATGCTAAGGAAGTTCCCTTTTATTCCTAATTTTCTGAGACTATTTTTCCAGGAATGAATATTGAAACTTATCAAATAATTTTCAGGATTTATTGAGATTGTAATATAGTTTTTTTTCTTTACTCTGTTGATATAGCAAATTACATTGATTTTTAAGATGTCGAACCAGCCTGTATTCTAAGGATAATCCTTACTTGATTCTTACGTCTATGTTCATGAGAGATATTGGTCTACAGCTTTCTTACTTGATTTTTTTTTTTTTTTTTTTGAGACGGAGTCTGGCTCTGTGGCCCAGGCTGGAGTGCGGTGGCGCAATCTCGGCTCACTGCAAGCTCCGCCTCCCGGGTTCACGCTATTCTCCTGCCTCAGCTTCCTGAGTAACTGTAGGCACCCACCACCACGCCCGGCTAATTTTTTGTATTTTTAGTAGAGATGGGATTTCACTGTGTTAGCCAGGATGGTCTCGATATCCTGACTTCGTGATCCACCCGCCTCGGCCTCCCAAAGCACTGGGATTACAGGTGTGAGCCACCGCACCCAGCCCAGCTTTCTTTTCTCATATGTCTTTGCCTGGCTTTGATATCAAAATAATGCTGGCCTCATGTAATGGTTGGAAAGTGATCCCTCCACTTCGATTTTTGGGAAGAGATTGTGTAGAATTGGTGTTATTGCTTCTTTAAATGTTTGTTAGAATTTACCAACGATGCCATCTGGATTTGTAGTTTTCTTTGTTGGTGGGTTTTTAACTACAACTCAATTTTTTATAAAATAGATTCCTGGATTACCTATTTCTTTTTTAGTGAGCTTCAACAATTTATATCTTTCAGGAAATCAGTCTATTTATTCTTATAAGTTGTCAAATTTATGGGCATGCAGTTGTTTGTCATATTTACTTATAAAGATTTGTTGTTATCATAAATTATATACTTTTGTATCTCTTTCCACATTTCCAAGCACACAATATTTGTCACAATAATACCTTTGGATGTTATTCCTGCTGCCTGGAACACCTTTCCCTTAAGACTAAATTCAACTGTCACCGTCTATATAAAACCTCTCCAGGCACCTTAGGTAAGGCCCTGAACAAAAGTAATATATGAGGTAAAATGAATGCTTCCAAAATCATCTTTTTTTCTCTTTTGCATAATGTGATTCCAATGTTCAACCTTAAGCACATTTTCTTCCTCGTATAGATATATCATGATGAGTATTAGCCTTATTAATTTATTATTGGTCACTACATTGTTTTGAAAGTGTTGCATCAACCTTTCCTACAGTTTAGTAACTGAGTTTTAATACCCAGTCATTGGTGTGTGTTTGGTAGGTGAACTTTTATTGTGATCTGCTTGCTGAGTTTTGAGTGTAGTCTACCGATCCAAAATATTAGTGACACATATTCATAGAAGTTCCCATTGAGATAATCACTTTCATGGTGATGCCACCTAGATTTTCTCACAGTAGAGAGCAATCCCTAAGATCTTCAAGATCAGAAACTATGCATTTCAGTTTCTAGTGATTCAGGTATTACCTGGCATAGAACATAATAAATGTCTGAAGAATGAAGGAGTTACATGGCAGAATATCCCAAACACTTATTCTTCTAGCCTCTAAAGAACTGTACTCAGGTTTTAATAACTGAGAATTACTCCTGTGAGGATATGGGAATGCCATATCTTAATTTCCTTCCAAAGATTAGGCAAATACCTGTTAAATTCATGTTTAAATAACCTTCAATGCATTTCTTCACTACCACTACCACTGTGTCTCAAGAACATATATAGACAAAATATAGTGAGTGGGTAACTTCCACAAGAAGATTGTTTGCCACATATCATTTCGAATATCTTTATCTGTAATTTTTGTTGTTACAGGTCTACAGCCATGGGAGATAACTGGTGGGAAACACAACTTGTAACTTTGGGTGTTACAGTTTACAGCTGGCCTGAATTGTTTAGTCAAAAACAGAAAGGTATTTTTTTAAGAGCTTATCTAAGAAGAGTTTGTATTGGGCTAGTCTGGGGCTTTTGCTGGCAGAATACAATCTAGCCTTGTTAAAATTGGATTGGGCTGTCTTACTGTTTTAATAGAAATCAATCCAACATGTTCCAGAAGCATGGCCCTGTTCAGATTATTCACTAGGAGCCAAAACATTGACCAGGGAAATCAGGTTTCTTGCAAATCAGAAAGGAAAAAAAAATCCAAGTCAGCTTTACTAGTTCTATTCCTTCTCATTACTAGATAACTCAAAATCAAGGGAGTAGAAGAAACAACAGAGAAGTGGGTAAAGGATATTGGCAGTTAACAAGAAAAAAAAAACTATGGCCCTTAACACATAAAAGGATGGCAAGTCTCACTCACAGTAAGATACATACAAATTTAAACCACTCTGAGAGTAAAGGCAAAGGATCTAATATAGCCAAAGAAATGTGTGGGTTTTTTTTTAAGAACAAAGTTGGTGGGTTACATTACCTGACTTCAAGTCTTGCTATAAAGCTACAATAATATAAACAGTGTGGTACTGGCTTAAGGATAGCAAAATAAATAAATAAAACAGGATTGACAGCACAGAAATAGACCAACACATATATTATTATTTGATCTGACACAGATCCCAAAGTAATCCAATAGAGAGGGGGTTATTTTAAACAAATGATGCTGAACAAAAATTATTTGACATGTGTAATAGTTTTAAACATAGAAACTAAAACAATAAAGCTTATAAAATAAAACACAGAATACCTTGGCAACTTTGGGGCAGGCAAATGTTTCTTAGACAAGACACAGAAAATTATAATCATATAAGAAAAAATTGATAAATGAAACTTCAATAAAATTAAAACTTTTATTCATCAAAATACACTAAGGAAATGAACAGGTCAGCCAGCCAGGGCTAAAATGCTCATAAACATATATCTAGGAAAGTGCCAGTATGCAAGATACATAAATAACACTTACAACTTAATAATAAAGTGAGAAACAAACCATTTTTCAAAATTGACAAAATATTTGAACATGTAAATAGCTCACAAGTACATAAGAAAAGAACTTGACATCATTAGTCATCAGGGAAATGTAAATTAAAATCACAATATGATTATTTACACACCTACCAACATTCCAAAATTTGAGAAAATGTGGAACAATGGAAAATTTTAAACCACTTTGGGTTTAAAATTTGAGAAAATGTGGAACAATGGAAATTTTTAATCCACTTTGGTGTAAATTTAAAATGGTATCACCATTTTGGAAAAAGGTCTAGTAGTTTCTAATACAACTAAGCATCCACTTATGATCCAACAAATCTGCTCGTAGTTGTTTATTGAAGCAAAATGAAATCACATATCCATAAAAAAGAATTGTAAAAAATGTCTTTAACAGCTTCACTCGTAGGAGCCAAAAACTTGACACAACCCAGGTATCCATGATACAGTCACATAATAAAATACTCAATGATTTCATTGAAAGAAAAGAACTACTGATAAACATGACAACATGGATGGATCTCAAAAACATGCTAAGCGAAAGAAGCCTTAGAAAGAAAGTACATACCATATGATTCCATTTATAAGGAGTTCTAGAACAGGCAAACTAACTTATGATGAAAAAATCAACAGTATAGTTGCCACTGTGGATGATGGGAGAGTGAGTGCCTGGAAAGGGGCATAAGGAAAATTTCTAAAACAACATCTTGATAAGGATTTGTGTTATACAAGTGTATGCATTTGTCAAAATCCAGGAAATGTACCCTTAAGATTTGTGCATCTCATTTAACGTGAATTATATATCAAAAGAAAAGTAATATACAGCTATGGAATGTTAGTTATGTTATGCATGCTGAAGTATTTAGAGAGAAGTATATAGCTGTTGTAATTTATTTTGAAATGCATCAAAAATAGATGAATGGATGGAGACAGGGATGGATAGATATGTGACACAGCACACACAGTAAAATGTTGATAATAAAATATCAGTGATGGGTATATAGTAGTCCCAATAAAGTTCCATCTACTTTGTTATTTTTGAAATTTTTAAAAATAAAACGTTGGCAGGGAGATAAAAGGTTCATTGTAGAATCTGGGTGGTAGATATACAGCTGTTAACTGTACTATTATTTTTTGCAGTACTTAAAACTTTTTCGCAATAAAATGTTTAAAAATATACTTAGAAACCTACTTACTTCATCAGGTTAGCAAAAATCCAAGAGTTTGTCAGCATACTCACTTATCAAGGCTGTGGGGAAACACACTCATACATTGTAGGTGGGAGTATAAAATGGTGCAAATTGAGAGGAATCTGACAATATTCAGAGATGCATTTACCCTTTAATTCAGAAAATCCTTTTTTATCACTTTATTTTACTATTATACCTGAACACATCTGAAATAATATGCCTGGAAGATTATTCACTATGACATTATTTGTAATAAATGATTGGCAAAAATCCAGTTTAGCAACTAGCAACTGGGATGAACTATGGTATATCCATGCAATTTAACACTAGGCACCTATTTTCAAAAAGTCAAGATCTCTGTCTATTGATAAAGGAAAATAAGTAAAGTGCAAATAAAGCCAAAAGATAATATTTTCTCCTTTAAGAACAGAGAAAATTAAAAAAAAAAATTATTGGCTAGTATTTATGTAAGAAACACGGGAAGGATCCCAGCACCTTGGGAGGCAGAGGCGGGTAGATCACGAGGTCAGGAGTTCAAGACCAGCCTTGCCAACATGGTGAAACCCCATCGCTACTAAAAATACAAAAATTAGCCAGGCCTGGTGGCATGCATCTGTAATCCTAGCTACTCGGGAGACTGAGGTAGGAGAGTTGCTTGAACCTGGGAGGCGGAGGTTGCAGTGAGACAAGATCGCGCCACTGCACTCCAGCCTGGGAGACAGAGCAAGACTCCGTCTCAAGGTGGCGGCGGGGGTAAGAAAGGAAAATAAAAAATAGTTACATAAGAGGATGGAAAGGAACAAAGTGGATGAAGATGGGTTGGAAGGAAGACTTCTCAGTGTTACTTTATAACATACATGATTGTATTTTTTTTTTTTTTTTGAGACGAAGTCTCACTCTGTTGCCCAGGCTGGAGTGGCTCACTGCAACCTTTGCCTCTCAAGTTCAAGTGATTCTCCTGCCTCAGCCTCCCAAATAGCTGGGATTTCAGACATGTGCCACCATGCCTGGCTAATTTTTATATTTTTGGTAGAGACGGGGTTTCGCCATGTTGGCCAGGAAGGTCTTGAACTCCAGACCTCAGGTGATCCACCCATCTTGGCCTCCCAAAGTGCTGGGATTACAGGCGTGAGCCACCGCGCCCGGCCATGATTTTATTATCTATTCAATAAAATAAAAGACAAAAATAATCAATGAAGGATTGAAAAAAATGTGTAGCAGTAACAGAATGGTAGCATGGGGTTTCCAGTTAATTGGGCTTATCACCCATAAATTTTCCCAAAGGTGTCAATTTCTATAAAAGTTAAAAGCAAATTGAGATGCAGTGACAGCCTTCATACCTTTTGGTCCAGGGAGCCCATCTATGCCAGTGCGTCCTGGAGGACCTGGAGGTCCTGGGAAACCACGATCACCTTTTGGACCAAGTGTTCCTTTGAAACCTGGAAGTCCTGGTGGCCCAGGTGGCCCAGGTAATGCAAATCCTGGTTCACCCTTGAGCATATAGATGACAAAACACAACAAAAACTCCCGTGACTTTTCTGGTCCTTATTGTTTACCACAGAGAATTCAATGCCAAAAATACAAGACAGTACTTTTCTTTCCACGGGGGGAGAGGAGAAGATAATTAAACCAAAAGTAATTGGTATGTTGGAGAAAACATATGGAAGGATGGGAAACAGGGTTTAGTAAAACAAATTAGATGATTTGGACTGGATTCAGGATAAAAAAATAAAACTGAGAGAGCATGAGATTAAAGAACAGACTATCCTTGTAGGGAAATATGATTATAGGCTGAGTATTAGATAATACTAAACAATTATTTTTAATTTTACTAAGTACAATAACAACATTGTGGTTTTTGTATAAAATGTCAATTTATTTAGAGATGAATGCTGATGCATTTATAAGTGAAATGATACTGTGTTGAGATTTGGCTAAAATATTTGAGCAAAGTAAAAAGGAATAGATGAAGCAAATGTTATAAAATCATAATAATTTTAAATCTGGGTGATGGATATATGAAAGCTCTTTGTATTATTCATTTTACTTTTATTTTCATTTGAAAATGTTCATAATAAAAAGAACCAACCAATAGAGAAGTGGTTTTCTCAGGAGAACTGGTGTTATGGTTAACTGGTTAACTGTTTTTCGCATGAAAAATAAGGAATAATTACAAAACACAGGAGGTTTAAATCAATTACGCACAGATAAAATATATAGGAATAGTCACAATAATTACATACCACAGCAGTTTGCTAAAGGTTGACTGAGGAAAGCTTAACATTAGATAAGAAATAATAAAAGGAATGAAAAGTAACTCAAACAGTATTATTTATTAGTAGTATTACTAAGTCAATTGTAGTGATTTGCATTATGTATCTGTAATGGAATTGGGACAGAGGGCAACAGTATAGGAAGGTCTGGAAATGATATTCAACACCATTTCAACCAGTCATCACACAGGCATGAACAGAGGTGACATGGGATGATGACTCTATAGAGATGCACAGAGGGAGCTGACCATAGTACAGGCATACCTTGTGTGTCGTTTTGTTGTGCTGCGCAGACATTGCATTTTTTACAAATTGAAGGTATGTGGCAACCCTACATTGAGCAGGTCTATCAGTGCAATTTTTCCAATAGTATGTGCTCACTTTTTGTCTCTGTGTCACATTTTGGTAATTGTCACAATATTACAAACTTTTAAATTGTTATTATATCTGTTATGGTGATATGTGATCACTGATGTTACCATTATAATTGTTTTAGGATACCATAAACTGTGCCTGTATAAGATGGCGAACTTAATAAAAAAATGTTGTAAATATCTGACTGCTACACTGATCAGCCATTTCCCCCACATCTCTCTCCCTCTCCACAGGTCTTTCTATTCCTTGAGACATAATAATATTGAAATTAAGCCAATTAATAACACAACAATGGCCTCTAAGTGTTCAACTGAAAGAAAGTCACACATCTCTCACTTTAAATAAAAAGCTGGAAATAATTAAGCTTAGTGAGGAAGGCATATCAAAAGCTAAGGTAGGTTGAAGGCTAGGTCTCTTGCACTAAACAGTTAGCCAAGTTGTGAATGTGAAGGAAAAGTTCTTTAAGGAAATTAAAAGTGCTACTCCAGTGAACACACGAATGAGAAGAAAGTAAAACAGCCCTATTGCTGATATGGAGAGAGTTTGAGTGATCTGGACAGAAGATCATACCAGCCATAACATTCCCTTAAGCAAAAACCTAATCCAGAGCAAGGCCCCAACTTCAATTATCTGAAGACTAGAGGTGAAGAAGCTGCAGAAGAATAGTTGGAAGCTAGCAAAAGTTGGTTTGTGAGGTTTAAGGGTAGAAGCTGTCTCCACATCATAAAAGTGCAAGGTGAAGCAGCAAGTGTTGACATAGAAGCTACAGCAAGTTATCCAGAAGATCTAGCTAAGATCATTGATGAAAGTGACTACACTAAACAACAGATTTTCTATGTTGATGAAACTGCCTTCTATTGGAATAAAATGCTCATAGGACTTTCATAGCTAGAGAAGATAAGTAAATTACTGGTTTCAAAGTTTCAAAGGGCAGGCTGACTCTATTTTTAGGGACTAATGCAGCTGGTGACTTTAAGTTGAAACCAATGCTCATGTACCATTCTAAAAATTCTAGGGCCCTACGAATTATGGTATATCTACTCTGCCTGTGCTCTATAAATGGAACAATAAAGCCTGGATGACAGCAGATGTATTTACAGCATAGTGTACTGGATATTTTAAGCCCACTATTGAGACCTACTCCTCAGAAGAAAAGATTCCTTTCAAAATTCTACTGCTCATTTACAATGCACCTAATCACCCAAGAGCTCTGATGGTGATGTGCAAAGAGATTAATGTTCTTTTCATGCCTGCTAACACCATACCCATTCTGCAGCCCATGGATCAAAGAGTAATTTTAATTTTCAAGTCTTATTATTTAAGAAATACATTGTGTAATGTATAGCTGTCATAAATAGTGATTCTTCTTATGGATCTGGCAAAACAAATTGAAAACCTTCTGAAAAGAATTTCATGCTAGATGTCATGAAGAATATTCAGGATTCATAAGAAGTGGTCAAAACATCAATATTAACAGGAGTTTGGAAGACGTTAATTCTAACTCTCACAGATGACTTTGAGGGTTTCAAGACTTCAATGGAGGAAGTAACTGCAAATGTGGTGGAAGTAGCAAGAGAACAAGAATTAGAAGTAGAGCCTGAAGATATGAATGAATTGCTGCAATCTTATAATAAAAGTAGAACAGATGAGCAGTTGCCTCTTATGAGCAAAAGTGATTTCTAGAGATGGAATCTACCCCTGGTGAAGATGCTGGGAACAGTGTTGAAATGACACTGAAGGACTTGGAATATTATATAAACTTAGTTGATAAAGCAGCAGCAGGGTTTGACAAGACTGATTCCAATTCTGAAAGAGGTTCTACTGTGGGTAAAATACTATCAAACAGCACCGTATGCTGCAGAGAAATCTTTTCTTAAAGGAAGAGTCAACTGATGTGGCAAACTTCATTGTTGTCTTATTTTTAAAAATTGCCACAGCCTTGGAGAGGATGTGGAGAAATAGGAACACTGTTGGTGGGACTGTAAACTAGTTCAACCATTGGGGAAGGCAGTGTGGCGATTCCTCAGGGATCTAGAACTAGAAATACCATTTGACCCAGCCATCCCATTACTGGGTATACCCAAGGGATTATAAATCATGCTGCTATAAAGACACATGCACACATATGTTTATTGCAGCACTATTCACAATAGCAAAGACTTGGAATCAACCCAAATGTCCATCAGTGACAGACTGGATTAAGAAAATGTGGCACATATACACCATGGAATACTATGCAGCCATAAAAAAGGATGAGTTCGTGTCCTTTGTAGGGACATGGATGCAGCTGGATACCATCATTCTCAGCAAACTATCGCAAGAACAGAAAACCAAACACCGCATGTTCTCACTCATAGGTGGGAATTGAACAATGAGATCACTTGGACACAGGAAGGGGAACATCACACACTGGGGCCTATTGTGAGGAGAGGGGAGGGGGGTGGGATAGCATTAGGAGATATACCTAATGTAAATGATGAGTTAAGGGGTGCAACACACCAACATGGCACATGTATACATATGTAACAAACCTGCACATTGTGCACATGTACCCTAGAACTTAAAGTATAATTTAAAAAAATAAAATAAAATAAAACAGCATGGCAGGCAAAAAAAAAAAAAAAAACACTAATTGTCTGTTTTCAACAAAATAGATTGTATTTTAATGGAAAAAAAAAATTGTCACAGCCACCCCAGCCTTCAGCAACCATCACCCTGATCAGTGGGCAGCCATCAATACTGAGTCAAAACCCTCCCCCAGCATAAAGATTATGACTTGCTGCAAGCTTAGATGATTGCTAAAATTTTTTAGCAATAAAGTATTTTTAATTAAGGTATGCATATTTTTTTTTAGACCTAATGCTACTGCACACTTTAAAAACTGCAGTATAGTGTAAACATAACCTTTATATGTACTGGGAAACAAAAAAAATTGTGTGATTCACTTTATTTTGATATTCACTTTATTGTGGTGGTCTGGAACTAAACCTGCAATATCTCCAAGGTATGCCTGTATTCTCTAATCAAAGAACTGGGCACTCAAAAATAGGTACAGAAATTTGTTTTTTTTTTTTCTCCAAATGTGACCTCTTGGACTATTAAAGATGATTTGGGGTTAAATATTTTTTAAATGGAAATATAGTAAGTTATTTTATCTATATATTTAATAGTAAAGACTTGGGACTTGGGATGATATCTGAGTCAAAATAGAGAGCTAGAAATAAGGAAGGTGGGAAAGATAAGAAAATGAGAAGGATTAAATAAAAATGTCCCAGACCTTCGGTCCTGGAAAGCCAGGTGGCCCAGGAGGGCCTTCTAGACCAATTCTTCCAGGTGTCCCAGGTGCTCCTGGAGGTCCTGGAATTCCAGGAAAGCCTGTAAAATGATAAGTCATTTTTTAACCACCAAAGGAAAGACACTTTAAGAAAGATATTCAAATTCCCAAAGCCACATTCTAATCATGCTTAGTGACAACAGTAAGATGTTAAAAGCACAATGACATTCTACTACCTAAGATTAAGCCTTACAGTCCCTCAATCACCTTACATTCCTTTTATTTTCACATAGAGCTAATGTATGTGGAACATATGCTTTTCTGAAGAAAATGAGGGCTATTATATAATAAGATAGAACTAAATTGTAAGGAATGAATTCCACACAAAAATGCCCAAGAACTTTTCTTCTGCTTATATCTGGATGCAGTATGACAAAGGGCCTACCATATAATTTTGGAAATGGACTAAAACTAACTGCAGATATTATAGATACATATACACATAAAATCAAACCCGATAACTTTTGAAAGCATTTTGTATAAATGAGTAAAGATATATTTAAGAACTGTCCTCAGACCACTGTGTGCTCTTGCCATTTGTGAGAATAAATTCTGTGAGGAATAAAGCAGAACTGAAGCATAAGCCCTAAAAAATTTCAATAAATCAAGAAAATATTATTTAGCATAAAATATTACTTGGCTACACATGTGCAATAAGTCTGTTTTCTGTTTAAAAAATCCATTAACTCAATAAATAACAAGTGCACACTATGTGTTAAGAACTGTTCTAAACCCTGAGAATACTATGGTGAACACAAAAGACAATTCCTGTAATTTCTAAGCTTATATATCACTTTTGCATATCTAAAATGTAGATATTTTCCTGTCTGGACTGTTTTAGATAAAGATAATGAATGAACTTACAATGAAAATACACTAAGATTTTTTATTTACATTCTTTATAGCACAGAGAAAAAAGGTACAATTAATATATTTTATTTGTTGAATGAATTTTATCAAAGAATAACATCATGCTAATCTTCTAAGCTACCCTGCCTGCTGCCCATTCCAACATACCTTTGGCACCAGGTGGTCCAGGAAGCCCAATTCCAGGGATACCTGGTTCTCCTTTGCTACCAGGTATCCCTGGCAAGCCTGGTTGCCCTGGGAGTCCAGGGTCACCTATGGAGAAAGAGCAGTTATGGAAAGGAAAATGTTCAAAGAAAGAAGCCGCCAGGGCTGGGTGCAGTGGCTCACGTCTATAATCCCAGCACTTTGGGAGGCCGAGGCAGGTGGGTCACCTGAGGTCAGGAGTTCGATACCAGCCTGGCCAACATGGAGAAACTCCGTCTCTACTAAAAATACAAAAATTAACTGGGTGTGGTGGTGGGCGCCTGTAATCCCAGCCACTTGGGAGGCTGAGGCAGGGAGAATTGCTTGAACCCAGGAGTTGGAGGTTGCTGCAGCAAGCCGAGATCACCCCATTATACTCCAGCATGGGTGACAGAGCAAAACTCCGTCAAAAAAAAAAAAAAAGCCATCAGTGTTGAAGATACTTTGAAATAAATTCCTCACATACCTGGAAGACCTACTTCACCATCTCTGCCTGGGTTACCAGGCAAGCCAGGCTCCCCTGGCTGGGTTATAGTCTGACCTGGATCCCCTTTAGGACCTGAAAGCAAGAGTAAATCAGTGGTAAATGAGAAGTATTTACTCGACTAAAGGTCTCTTTTTAATTAAAAACAAAAAAGAAAACTATCAGTAATGTTTTGAAAATGTAAACTAACAAAAATTCACAAGAAAAACAATCTTCCACTATATATTCAAGAAAGATATAAAACAGAAGGATAGAATTTCAAAAAGAAAAAGGATATGACAGCCTTAAGGACTTCTATGATTCAAGATGTATAATGGTTAATTTTAGGTTTCAACATGGCTAGATTAAGAGATACTGATATAGCTGGTAAAGCATTATTTCTAGTTATGTCTGTGAGGCTGTTTCCAAAAGAGACTGACATTTGAATCAGTGAAATGAATAAGGATGATCGACCCTCACCCAATATGTGTGGGTACCATCCAATCAGCTGAGGGACCGGATACAACAAAAAAGGCAGAAAAAAAGGTGAATTCACTGCTCTCTCTCTTTTGAAACTGGTACACCCATCCTCTCCTACCCTTGGACATCACAACTCTGGGTTCTCTGGCTTTCAGATTCTGGGACTTGCACTAGCAGCCACTCAGGTTCTCAGGCATTCAGACTAGGACTGAGCCAAGCTACTGGCTTCCCTAGTTCTTCAACTTACAGGTGACCTACTGTGGGACTTCCCAGCCTCCATAATCATGTAAGTCAATTCCCATAATAAATCACCTCTTATCTATCTATCTGTTTATCTATCTATCTATCTATCATACCCATCTGTCCATCCATTTTAGAAAACCCTAAAACAGGGTGTTATCTATGTAAGTATTTTTAAAATGTAGGCCAAAAGAGCATTAAAAATCAAACTGTAGTAAACAAGGAAAATACTTCTTTTGGCTAATAGGTACATTTAGGTTTTACACGTGCAAAGTTCAAGTGTATCTACTTCTTATTAATGGAAACATGAACTTGAAATGGGCTCAAGAAAAAAAAAAAAAGATTTCCTAAACATGACACAGAAAGCACTAACCATGAGAGAAAAGATTGATAATTTTGATGATGTAAAAGTTGTTTTCTGCTCATTGAAGACACCATACAGAGTAAAAATAGCAAGCCACAATAGGTAAAGATTTCTTTTCACAAAATACATAGGTAACTAAGAACTAATACACAGAATATATAAAGAACTCTTCTAAATCAATAAAAAAAATCCAATATAAAATTGGTCAAAGTACTTGATTAGGCATTTCACAAAAGCAAATTCAAATGACCAATAAACACATGAAAAGGTGCTAAACTTTAATATAATCAGAGAAATGCAAAATATCACACTCAACAGATTGGCAAAAAGGTAAAAGTCTGACAATACAAAATGTTTCCACGGATGTAAATCAACATAAAATGTTCAACACTGCTTGTGGTAGTTAAAAATTGGTACAATTGGTCTGGATATAGTTTGTAATTATCCACTCAAGTGGAAGATGCACTTATCCTATGCTTTGAAAATGCTAATCTTAAACACATACCCTAGCCCAGGTATTGGTAAGCATTTTGTGTAAAGGACCAGAGTAAATACTTTAGGCTTTGTGGACCATACGGTCTCTGTAGCAACTACTCAACTCTTCAGTTGTAGTGCAAAAACAACCACAGACAAAGGTGAATGGTTGGGGAAGTGTTCACATAAAACTTTTATTTATAACAGGTGGTAGACTGGATGTGGTCCATGGACTGTAGTTCTGTAGTTTGCCAACTCTTGCCCTAGAGAAGTGTAAGCACATGAACACAAAGAGATATAGGGATCTATCTATCTACCTATCTATCTATATGACTGTACACAGAAGCATTATTCATAATAGATCCAAACTGTAAATAACCCAATTGACCATTAGCAATAGAATGGATCAATCAACTGTAAAAAACACACACACACACGCACACACACACACAAACATACGTACAATGAAATACTATATAGCAATAAAAATTAACATACTATATATAGCCACACAAAAAGTTAATATAGAAAACACTTACCCTATGATTCCTTTAACATGAAGTTCAAAAAGAAACAAAATTAAAATACTCTGTTTAAAAATGCATACAGAGGTCACAAAATAGAGGGGTAATGGAAGAAAATTATGTAAAAGTCAAGACAGTAGAGGAAGAAGGGACTTGTGATTAGGAAATGACAGGGAGAGAAGGTTAGGGGTTTCTAGGATGCTGGTAACATTATATTTTTTGATGTGTGTGGTAGTTACCTGTGTGTTTCTGCTATAATTATTTATTAAACTTTGCATTATGTATCATGTACTTAAAAGAACAAAATTAACAGTAACAATGAAACAGTCAGAGAAGATTTAAAGAGAAACCCCCTTACAAAAAACATTGTGATCCCTTGCTTAGATGCTCTGAAGAGTTCAAATATAAATGGCCAGGGAATCACACCTCTTGGGAAAGGAAGCCATGAGTAGCCAAAACATAATAAATTTCTGTTTTTAAGCACCAAATTTAACACAAAACACAGTAGACTTACCTGGTATTCCTGGCTGGCCTGGATTTCCTGCCACACCTTGTATGCCTTTTTCACCTACTGGGCCTGGAGGGCCAAAACCAGGAGGACCCATAGGCCCTATATTCCCTGGGAGGCCTGGTAAACCTGGGTTCCCAGGGGGACCTCTTTCACCCTTAAAAGTAATTCCACCCTAAAAAGGGAAAAGTTTAATACAGAAACATATAGATACAACAACTATCTGTAGGTTGGTACTGAATACAACTGGGGAAAGGCTATAGCCATAAATAGTTCTTCTTAAAAGCTATACAAATGAGTGGTATTATGGGATGGTATGTGTGATCATTCCACTTACTCATTCCTCCAACAAATATTTTTGGGCTCCTACTATGTGTCAAGTGCTGGTCATACAACAGAAAACCAAAAATACAAAAAAACTCTGGCTTTATGCAGCTTACATTTTAGTGTAAGTCAGAAGGGTTATAGTCTAGATAACATTATAAAATATCACTTCCTACCTAAATATCCTGGGCTGTGTGCTATGTACAAAATAAGATTGTTCATTTATGTTAAATCTTTCAGTTCTGTGGCACATTGAACATGGCTATCTACTTGTACTGATCTCTAAGCTTACTATATATATATGTGTGTGTGTATATATATATAGAGAGAGAGAGAGAAAGAGAGACAGAGAGAGGGAGAGAGAAACAAGTTAAATTGCTGGTTATGAGGTTTATTTATTTATTTATTGTGATGGAGTTTTGCTCTTGTTGTCCAGGCTGGAGTGCAGTGGTGCAATCTAGGCTCACTGCAACCTCTGCTTCCCGGGTTCAAGTGATTCTCCTGCCTCAGCCTCCCGAGTAGCTGGGAGTACAGGTGCCCAACACCATTCCCAGCTAATTTTTGTGTTTTTAGTAGAGACGGGGTTTCACCATGTTGGCCAGGCTGGTCTCGAACTCCTGACCTCAGGTGATCCACCCACCTCGGCCATGCAAAGTGGTGGGATTACAGGCGTGAGCCACCATACCCAGTCATGAGGTTTAAATAAACCCAGGGAAAGATATGTGGGGGTTAAGAGATGGGGAACCTTATACTGTCTCATAAACATCTTAACCTCTTGCCCACCTATTCATAGAAAATATTATTCAATATTAAAGGGTTAAGAAAAATAAGTTTACAAAACAAGTGAAAGAAAAGAGTAGTGAAGAAACCCTACAGTCAGTAACAATGTGCCATTACTGTATGGTCACACTGTTTTAAGCATTGATTGGGTGTTTATCTCAGCATCAGGCCCATCCTTTAAATTAACTTAGAAAACATTTCTAAGTGAAAATTTAACATCACAAAATGAAAAACATCAAACCAACTCACAGGCTCTCCTTTCGGGCCAGGAAGCCCTGGCAATCCATCCTGTCCAGGAGTGCCAGGTAAACCAGGAAGCCCTGGAGCTCCAGGGGAACCCAACTCTCCTTTGTCACCCTTCATTCCTGGAAAAGTGAGGATATCACCAGGTTCACCTTTAGATCCAGGAAAGCCTGGAGCACCTGGAGCTCCTGGAATGCCCTGAAGTGGGTAAGGAAAAAAAGAGAAAGAGTGGAAAAAGAAGAAAGAGAAAAAGAAAATCAGTTTCTTTTTTTCTAACATTTTCTTCTCTCCAGTTTACCCCTTCAACCCACCCAATAACATTTAATGTACAAAGGGCTGAATCAAGTGAGGCATATGAGTCAGGAATAGTCAAGGAATCAAACAAAGTACAACTTAATAGAAAAATGAAATTATATACGTGTGTATGTATATGAATAATTGAAAATCAATGTGTAAAATGCCTTCCTTCTACTTCTTTTTGTTTTATAATATACTCAAAACTTACTGGTAATCCTTTGGAACCAGTTGCACCAGCTTGTCCTTTTTCACCTTTCTGTCCAGGGAAACCAAGGGATCCTAACACACACACACACAAACACACACACACACACACATATAATAATGTAAGCTTTGAGCTTGAACTCCTGACAAAGCTCATACAGAAATCATCAAGTCAGAAAGTCAAGTTTTTAAAATAAGAATCCCATTCAATCCCATTTAAGTCACATTTGTATTTTCCTTTTATGTTCTCAAAATGAGATAATCATCCTTTTTAAAATAAATTTAACATCTCATGTTACATACAATATTGTATTCTAAGAAACTTCCAACTCCAAAGCTGTCCTTCTCAGACCTTGCAACTAGCAAATACTATGCACAACGTTTCCTGGGTTCCTATGATGTTTTCATTTGCCAAAGGGAGAAAAAGATTATGAAAAGGTCTGAATATCTTTGTTCTGACTTACGCAGTTTTTGTAGATCCTTACCAGTCCTTTCTTTGGTTTGTCATTCCCTGAAATTTGGTTTATGAGAAACATTTGCAGCCCAAAGACTAGAGGAAACATTACTAAAGCAGTGGTTCTCCAAATGGATTCCTGGACCAGTGGCATCATCACCACCTGGCTACTAATTAGAAATGCTAATTCTTGAGCCTTCATCCAGGTCTACTGAATCAGAAACTTTGAGAGTGAGGCTCAGCAGTCTGGGCTTCAAAAAGCCCTCCAGGTGATGCACTCTCAAGTTTGAGAACCATGAGACTAGAGGTACAAGGCTAGATTACTAACGTCCAATAATGTCTACAAGATTTGTTGAAAGTATTCCCAAACTCCAAATGAATTGGTGTCCTTCACAGACTCACTAGACAGAAAGGTAAGAGATCTGGTCTCTATTCCCAGCCCTGACTCAACATAAAATGTAATTTCAAGAGAATACTGGGATATCCTAAGGGGCAGTTAAATGAAACAGTTGAGGGTCTGACAGATATCACATACAGTTTTGACTGGAAAGGGGGATAGATGAGTTATATATAGAGAGAGGAATACTGGCAGTTGATTGTCAAACTCCGATAGAACCCCTATTCCTGAACGACAACATGTGATACATCCCCAATGACTGGAATCTCTGCCACTGGAAACTATATTCAGGGGCTAGGTATTATGAACTTTTCTCCCAGTATTCTGGAAAAAAGAAGTCTGACTCTGTATAAGTGATTTTCTTCTTCGTATGGAAAATGGGGAAGATATATTTCCCGAAATTATATTGTCAAAATGCTTTAATAGAAAATGTTGGTAGCTTCAGGTATTAGAAACAAGAGCATAATTAATTTGATAACGAATAGAGGCATTTCATACTTAATTATTTATAGATATGAGTGACTAGCTATAAAAATGAGAAACGGTAACATTCTAAAAGTATAAGCTCTACAAAATCTAGCCAAAAAATATTTAGAAGGTTGCCCTGAGGCAGAATGGTTTACCTGGAGGACCTGGGAGACCTGGCAAACCAGGTTGACCTGGAGGCCCTGAAATACCAGTTCCAATGCAGTTGAAGCAAGTGTCACCTTTGTCACCTAGTGAAATCATAATAACAAACAAATGTTACTGAAAGGGGTACATATACCTTCAATAGATTGGTTCTAAAAATGTCAGCACTAAGGGACAGCATTTCCACTTAATGGTGTGATTGGAGAAGCCTATATCCTGAATCAATTTATGACAAATAAATTGCTGAGTGCTTACTGTGTGCCAAGAACTGTTCCAGATGCTTGTGTTACACTGGTGAGCAAAAGATAAAAGTCATGGATAAAAATTCAGGTCTACATGCCTCACATTCTACCAGGGGAAAGGGATAATAATCAATAAAGGAAATGAATTATCAAAATGTATATATGAAATATTTTAATATAATATTAAGTATAGGCAGGGTGTAGTGGCTTATGCCTGTAACCCCAGCACTTTGGGAGGCTGAGGCAGGCAGATAGCTTGAGGTCAGGAGTTCGAGACCAGCCTGGCCAACATGGCGAAACCCCATCTCTACAGAAAAAATAAAAACATTAGCCAGGCATGGTGGTGCATGCCTGTACTCGCCAGGTACCCAGGAGGTTGAGGTGGGAGGATTGCTTGAGACTTAGGAGATCAAGGCTGCAGTGAGCTGTGATTGCATCACTGCACTCCAGATTGGGTGACAGAGCAAGACCCTTTCTAAAAAAAATTAAATATATATTAAATATTTAATATGCTTTAAAAGATATTATTTTTATAGGAAAAAACAGAACTACATAAGTGGTATTGAGTATGCCAGGGAAGGGTGGGGGATTGCAATTTTAAATAGGGTAGTCAGGATAGACTTGATTGAGAAGTTGATATGTGATAAAACTTAAAGGACATGACATGTGCATAAGAGTGTAGAACATTCCAAGCAGAAAGAATAGCCATGTTTGGTATATACGAGGAACAGCAAGCCGACCAGATTGCTAGAGCAGAATGAGGGAGGGGAACAAGGTCAGAAAGTTGACAGTTTACAACAAATGGCATATAGGCATATAAGAAACATAAAGGCTGTGGTTTTTACTGTGAGTGAAATGAGAATCTAGTAGAAATTTTTTTTAAAAAAAGCAACTTGTTATAACTTAAATTTTTAAGGGATGACTCTAGCTGCTATGTTAATAGCCTCTAAAGGCAATGATGGAAACAGGGTAACCACTTAAGTGGCTACTGTCGCAACGATCTAGGAGAGAGATGGTGGTAGCTCATCCCAGAGTGACTGCAATGAAAATGATGAGAACCGGTTAGATTATAGACATATCTGAAAGTAGAGCCAATGGGATGTTCTCATGGATCATATATGAAATACAAAAGAAGAGGGGAATCAAGGATGACTCCAAGGTTCTCAGCATGAGCCACTAGAAGACTAAAGTGGCCTGCTTTTTAAGTAAGAAGCATAAGATGTGAGTGGAGCAACTATGGGGAGGAGGTGGCAGAAATCAAGACTTCAGTTTGATCAGGATGTCAAATTCAAAATGTTGACTAGGCAAATGGATACACAAATCTAGAGGAAAACAGTTATATCTGGATAGGAGGCATAAATTTGGAAGTCCTGGGCAATTAGGTGGCATTAACAATCACGAGACTGAATAAATGAGTTTAGGTAGAAAAGAAGAACAAGGATTCAATCTTGGAGCATTTTAAACTTAAAAGTTGGATAGATAATTCTAAGATGCATACAAAAATGCAAAGAACCTAGAATATCCAAGAATTACAATAAAGCCACAGTAATTAAGATAGCATCGCATTGGTGCAAGGAGAGACTAATGAAACAACAGAAGAGAATACAGCAGTCAGAAACAGACCTACACACATATGGTCATATGATCTACAAAAAAGTGCTAATGCAATTCATTGGGATAATTGATGATCTTTTGTTCTATAGTACTGACTCAACTGGACATCCATATGGGAAAAATGAACTTTGATCCCTACTCCAAACTACACACAAAAATTAATTGAAGAAAGATCAAAATGCGAAAGGTAAACAATAAAGCGTCTAGAAGAAAACACAGAGGAATATCATAAGACCTTTGAGGTAAGTAAAGATTTCTAAAACGGTGCATAAAAAGTACTAACGATAAAACAGGACATTGATTAATTTGATTTCATTTCATTAGCAACTTTTGTTAAACAAAAGTTAACAAAAGAGAAGATAGTTTTAATACATATATCCAATAATAAAATTAAAGATAAACACAGGCACTTTACAAAAGAGAATATAAGAACCAAAAGAAAGTAGTTCATAATCAAGTCACTAAGCAAATGCTAACAAAAATCACTTTGGAACATGGTTTGGTAATATCTATGAAACAAAACCTACACCTACCCTGTAATCCAGCAATTCAATTTCCCGATATATCTCCAATAAAAATTAGTGTTTATGTCCTACAAAAAATACATGTACAAGAATATTTATGACAGCTTTATTCACAATAGCTCCAGACCAAATGTCCATCAACACTAGAATACTGAGGTAATGTGCAGTGGAAAACCAAAGAATGGTGGAAAAATACTGCAACAAACAAAAACATAGATATATCTCACATATATTATATTTAGCTAAAGAAACCAGACATAAAAGAACTCATACAGTATAGTTCCATGTACACAAAGTTCAAGATTAGGCAAATTAATATATGCCAGAGGATAAAATAGTGATTACCTTTGGGGGGTACTGAGTAGGGAGTACAAGAGTCTTCCAGGGTCCTGAAAATGTTCTATATTTTGGTTTAGATGGTAATTAGATGGATACACATACACGCACACACACGTATGTACACCACAGAGGAATGAAAAAGAACAAGAAATGTAATGTACTGAAAGCCAAGGGATGCAAATGTTTAAAAAAGGCAAAAAGCAAGCAAAAAAAGGACAGACCTGACATTTGGATTAGCAGGATATAGACTGCTGGCAACTGACCAGCATTTGTGGAGTGGTAGGCAGTGGGGAGTTGGGGGAAGAGGGGATAAAATCCTGATTGGAGTTATGTTTAAGAGAAAACAAGAGGAGAGTAGAAAATTCTTAGGAAGTTTTGTTGCAAATGGGAATAGAAAAATAGAGAACCAGCTGGCAGGGAATGTAGGATTACCCTACTTTTTTTAGATAGGTGAAAAAAGCATATTTGTATGCTCCTGGGAATGACTGAATAGGGAGGGAAAAAATTGGTGATGTGGGAGAGGCAAAAATTGCTGGAAAAAAATCCTTGGGGAAATAAGAGGAAATGGAATCTATTGTATAAATAGAAGAACTGGCTTTAGATAGGAGCAGTAGTTATATGCAAGAAGGGAGACTATGAGCACAGGCACAAGTAGGTAAGTAAATATGGTGGTGACAATCTGTGAAAGTTCTCTTGTTACTGCTTTAATTGGTCAGTGAAATAGGAAGCAAGGTCAGAATAGGGGAGGAACTGCTAAAATTTGAGAAGAGAAGAAAAAGTGCAGGCTCAGAAAATGTGGAAATTTGGATAATGCTTTTGTTCCAAGTGAGTATAATGAAGTGAGAGAAGGGCAAAGGAATCATGGATTTATGAATAGAATTGATTACAGTGATTGATAATGGAATTTAAGCTAGGTTAAGAGGGAAGAAAGGACATCAAAAAGTTAAGCATTAGTCAAAGTTGCTAGGTCTCAGTGGGGTTGGAGTACTGCTGGAGTCAGGTTACTAGAGGTAGTAAGCTAGAAAGAAGAGAACGATGCAAAAAATGGGATGCATGAAACCAAGATCATGTAAGTATAACACTATTGGTAATGAGATGGTCTTGGGGTATGACCATGGGAATCAGTGGCTAAGGTGTGACGGATGATACAGGGGATTTTGCTGATGATTTGAAAGAATGAAGAAAATGAAGAAATGAATATGTCTGGAGATCAAACCTTTCATTCCTTGTTCTCCTTGGAGTCCTTTATCACCTGGAGATCCTGGGGGGCCTGGAGGGCCTGCTTCACATATCTCATCACCTGAGTAAGATAAACAAAGGATAGTAAGCTAATTGTTGTGAAATATCAAGAAGATTAAACAAAAGAAAGCCTGACAAGCTTTTCAGTTACTTCTCTGAAGAAATACAAGTACCTATAAGCAAAAGGAAAATATAACATTGTTGATAAATACTATTTGAAGAGCGAATGTAAACATCCAAGAACTACCAAAACCCAAAAAGTAAAGCAGTAGTAGAAATTCTTAGATATCAGAAATGCAACAAATGAGGCCAACCTTTAGCTAGAGTTACTTATAAACAAAATAAACAAAAACAAAAAAAGAACTTAATAGGAGAAAAATATAGCTTACTAGGAGGGATGTGAGGTCCAGGAGGGCCAGGAGGCCCTGGAAGCCCAGGAGCCCCAGGCTGTCCATCAAGTCCAGGAGGTCCAGGAATGGAAATTCCAGGTGGTCCTTCATCACCTTTCTGACCCCTTTCTCCAGGAAATCCAGGAGGGCCAGGAGGACCCACAACTGCAGCCCCTAAGATTCAAAAAAGTGATCAAAATGATCTCATCTTAGAGATGTTACTTTAGTTATCATTGAGACATTAGATAATGATAAGATCTTCCTTTAACATATAATTCTGGTTATATATTTTTTTTTAGGAGATTCAAAACTCTGAAAAAAAGGCTGAAAAATTTCAAAGAATGTAAGTAACAGTTTGAGGGTAGGAAATAATAATTTAAAGTAGCTTTATTACTTTTGGAAATTACTAGTAACCCCATCCTTTGACACTATGATCTGATAATCTTAAAAATACCAGAAAGTCATTAACAACATAAAAAGGTATTTCGAAGTTCCCATATAAACATGGCTCTGTTTCTGGACATTCTTCTGTTACACTGGTGATTCATGCACCATTAACACACATTTTAGTTACTATAACTTAATAATGTTTCCAAAACTGCTAAGGAAAATATGCTCATCTTTGTTCTTTTTTAAAACCATCTTCACTACACTTACAAATTTACTTTTCTAAATAAATTTTAGAATCAACTTGTCAGTTTCATTTTCAAAAACTGGTTGGGATTCTGAATGGGATTAATTTGAATTTAAAGATTATTTTTTGGTAGAATCAACTGTTTATAATATTGATTTTTCACATCGAGTAATAATTAAGTTTATTTCTCCATTTATTTAGTAATTTTATATTATTTAATAATAATTTACAAAATTCTGCAAAGAAGTCTTACACATGTATTGTTTGGGGTTATTCATGGGTTTCTTTTATAACTACTGTGCATTTTAATACTATTACAATTGTGAAGTGTATTTTTTTCTCTTACATGTTTGCTGGTGAAGAGGAAGGCAAATTAAGTATGCTACTCAGATCTGGTCATCTTGCACACATACTCTCTTTAAGATCTGGGAATTTGTCAATGGATTTTTTAAAGCTTTCTGGTAGATAATCAGATGGTCTCTGAATAACTGAAATTTGGGCTTTTTCCCCATTCTTACCACCATTTTTTCTTCCAGATTTAGTGCATGGGCTAGGATCTCCACTTTAAGGACAAACAGCATTGGAAACTCTAAGTATCTTGATCTTATTTCTGACTTGAATAAAAATGTTCCTGATGTTTCACCACAAAGCATGACATTTCCCATACAGTCCTGCAGATAGATTCATCAAGTTAACGTAACTCTCTTTTAATTCTAGTTTAAGAGGTTTAGCTTTCTTTTAAAAATGAATGGGTATTGAATTGTATTGACTAATTTTTCCGCATCTGTTGGCCTGTTTTCTTTTACTCTGTCAACGTACTCAATCACAGTAACCTCAATCCATCCTTGCAATCTTGGAGTAAAATCTACTTGGTCATAATATCATATAATTTAATGTGTTTCTGGATATTTAGGATTATTGCTTCTACATTCATAAATTAGACTGGGTTATTGCTAGTGTTATCTCCTTAGTTGTTTAGTATCAATGCTATTAAACTGACTTTTTTTGTTGTTATTTTATAGCATACCTTTTGCCTTTTTTTTGGTGTTTTTGTTTGTTTTTGTTTTTTTACTTTAAGTTCTAGGATACATGTGCACAACGTGCATGTTTGTTACATATATATCCATGTGCCATGTTGGTGTGCTGCACCCATTAACTCGTCATTTACATTAGGTATATCTCCTAATTCTATCCCTCCACCCTCACACCTCCTCCCACCCCACGACAGGCCCCGGTGTGTGACGATCCCCTTCCTGTTTTCCACAATGGTGGAACTAGTTTACAGTCCCACCAACAGTGTAAAAGTGTTCCTATTTCTCCACATCCTCTCCAGTACCTGTTGTTTTCTGACTTTTTAATGATCACCATTCTAACGGGTGTGAGATGGTATCTCATTGTGGTTTTGATTTGCATTTCTCCGATGGCCAGTGGTGATGAGCATTTTCTCATGTGTCTGTTGGCTACATAAATGTCTTCTTTTAAGAAGTGCCTGTTCATATCCTTTGCCCACTTTTTGATGGAGTTCTTTTTTTCATGTAAGTTTGTTTGAGTTCTTTGTAGATTCTAGATATTAGCCCTTTGTCAGATGGGTAGATTGCAAAAAATGTCTCCCATTCTGCAGGCTGTCTGTTCAATCTGATGGTAGTTTCTTCTGCTGTGCAGAAGTTCTTTAGTTTAATTAGATCCCAGTTGTCTATTTTGGCTTTTGTTGCCATTGCTTTTGGTGTTTTAGACATGAAACCCTTGCCCATGCCTATGTCCTGAATGGTATTGCCTAGGTTTTCTTCTAGGGTTTCTATGGTTTTAGGTCCAACATTTAAGTCTTTAATCCATCTTGAATTAATTTTTGTATAAGGTGTAAGGAAGCGATCCAGTTTCAGCTTTCTACAAATGGCTAGCCAGTTTTCACAGCACTATTTATTAAATAGGGAATCCTTTCCCCATTTCTTGTTTCTCTCAGGTTTGTCAAAGATCAGATGCTTATAGATATGTGGTGTTATTTCTGAGGCCCCTTTTCTGTTCCATTGGTCTACATCTCTGTTTTGGTACCAGTACCATGCTGCTTTGGTTACTGTAGCCTTGCAGTATAGTTTGAAGTCACGTAGTGTGATGCCTCCAGCTTTGTTCTTTTGGCTTAGGATTGTCTTGGCAATGCAGGCTCTTTTCTGGTTCCATATGAACTTTAAAGCAGTTTTTCCAATTCTGTGAAGAAAGTCATTGGTAGCTTGATGGGGATGGCATTGAATCTATAAATT